TAATCGTCAGTGTATAACAACCGTTTTGACAGACCAGGCTATCCCCATACCGCGGAGAACGAGTAGCTCAGTTGTAGCATGGAGATTTTGAGATAGTTTGAGCTATGAGATAAGATTTTTTCCCCCCTGGTTTTGTGCATGAAACCTCAAGATTCTATACTCATGTGATTGTATAATCTTTTTCTTTATTTTTTTTCTTTTTGACGGGATGAAGGACGTCGTCGTTGGCCGTCCATTCAGTACGTCCTTCGGACGACACGAGCCTAGCAATTTCTGCAAAGCACAATGGTAGATGGTACAGTATTAATTACCGTTCCTGCGACTGATATGCTTGGCATCCAAGAACGGCATATGCACCCTGCTAAAAGAATATTCGCTACACAATAAATCATTGAATACGTTTTCGTGCTTCACTCTGCCTAACATTCTGACACGAAACCTTCAGGTGGATTCAAAATACTACTACTACATGACACATTTCAGACAGACATCATACATATCTGCAGATCAACTTATCCATCGTATTCCCGTTTCCCCCGGCCCATCCACCCCAGCGAAATTGCGTAACATAACATGGCACTATGATCTGTACTGCATGCGTCCAGATCTTCTCCTTGGGATCTCCACGTATTAAGCAATCGAAGGCCATATGCCACTATGCCACCTGCGACTGCGATGCAATCAGAAACCTTTGCTTCTCAATCAGTGGAGATGTTCTGTAACACCTGCAGGTGATGGAGCTTGGAAGATGATGAAAGTGGTTCTCTTCAGACTTCAGTCATGGGAAGGAATAGGATCTTGCAGCTGCAGGCATGCAGGTGCAGCTGTGCACAATCCGGTTCTGTGATAGCTGCCGTTTTTGAGCGTGTGAAAATGCTTCTCTTTCCTCAGCAAAACCATCGGTCAGCAAAACTGCCATGGAGATGGAGTGGTGACTGGTGAGTGAGTGCTGACCGGGTGGGGAGGGTCGTGTTGTGTGGTTCGTTTTCGGCAAGGCTGCTGCCATTTGCGCGGTGCCAACGCAGCCCTCACATGCGCATATTTGGTTTACTGGTCCTCTGTGCATGGGTCCATGCGGTCTCTCTATTATTCCAAACACACAACGTGACAGCGATACGGATCTGACCACAGACAGGAGCTACCACGAGATCGAACAGCTGGTTTAGGTCAGCTTGTTTCGACTTGTATAGCATTATTAAAAGCATCCTGCAGATGTTAGGATCACTGCAGTGATAATTTCTAGAAACTCTAAAAGAAAAAAAAAACATAAATATCCGCCCAGTCCTTATGTCACTAATCACGTTATCTATTCTTTATTACTTCCTATGTTCTAAAATATACTCTAAAAGAAAAAAAAAGATAAATATCCGCCCAATCCTTATGTCACTAATCACGTTATTCTTTATTACGTCCTTTGTTCTAAAATATAAGACTAATTTGACTTGGTGTGATTTTTAAGATTACACTGATCGCTAATTTCTTTGCAATATAGGAGTATAATTTATGGCAATAAAAGTTTTATCATTAGAAAGTATTTACAAATGAAATGTAACTATTTCTGTAGTACAAACTTTTCATATGATTAGACTAATTGTTGGTCAAAAATAACAATGTTTGGTTTTTGAAATATATGCCTTGTATTTCATGCAGAAAGAGTAGAAAGAAATATAGGCACCGTACAAATCACATATTCACATGTTAGACCTCTTGTTTAGATCATCTAGAGCTTATTTTTAACAGCTAGCAATTAGTTTATGGTATCAAACGAGCATTTAGTGTGGATTAGACAAACTAGGATGTCGAGAAAGAATTCGGATCAAGCTGCCGATCTGATCACAATTTTTTCTTTGCTGCACTGGTCAATCATGGCAGATTGGCACTTGGCAGAGCGTAATTCAATGCGGTGCTGTATGACATGCAGGTAGAGGTTGCCCCCCTGGAGACCCCCTGACATGTTGTTTTCTGGGTTGCAGACTCCCCTACGATACCTTAACCTGCTGGCTGCTGCCGCCAATTTTTTAATGGACACGTCGCACGTGATGTGTGCCCGCCCTGCCCGTCCGTTTCTCCTCTGTTAATCATTTTGGTTAGTCAAATCTCTCTCTGTTGATTGCCACTCCGATCTGAGATTAGTTTAATGACTTGCTTGGCTTTGGTGCAATCTTTGATACACTGAAAAAGGAGCTGGACTCGCTTGTCCTTTCTCCCTAAAAGATTACAGCTCATGTCTGGCTTTTGGAATTCCAGAAGTTCTTCAGAGAAGAACTCGTCTGCATCAGTTTTTTGAGCTGTCGTTTATTCAAAATTTTGTCAATACTCTATTCTGAAACTTCAGCCTTTTCGATTCGTTAGCTAGAAAAAAAATAATCAAAAGTTGATGAATCCTGTGCAATATCGACAAATAAAGACCCGCCTGATACACTCTATATGGGCGAGCGAGCGTTAGCTTGAGTGGTCCGTCCCTGTCGTGGGAAGGCCCCGGTCGGGAGTTCGACTCCCGGCTGCCGCGGGCACAGCTGCGGTAATGCGCAGTTTGTGCAGAAAAAAAATTCCTCGTCTGTCCCACGTTCCAAAGCACAGATAAAAAGGTTACGGCCCACTCACAGAAGTACGGACCTCAGGGCAGGGCATGGAGTTCGGGAGTTTTCTCGGCCAGCGTGAGAGGCCATCTTCCTCGCGTAAAAACCGCGGGGTTGTCTGCCCACCGCAGACTGATTTTTTTTTGTTATATGGGCGATGTCCTATGTTCAGCGCTGTAGACATGCTGTTACATTACAGTATTATTAGATTAGATAATCATGAAGTGCAGAACAGATGAGCAGTGTGCTATCCCGAGGAATATCCGGACCCGACATCTCGATGCCCAGATCCCACAGCCAGTGCTGCATGTATCGGTTCTCGCAAATCGTGGTATCTAGGACATGTTTGGAACGGTGGAATTTTGTACAAATCATATAGTAATCTACAGTTCAATTTCACATGAAAACATAAGGTCAGAAAAAAAATCTCGCGTTCAAAACATGACCTAGTCATTTTATTTCCCCCAAAATTTTTGCTGACTTTTCTGAATGAAAAATCTCTTTTTAAAACTAATAGTCACGAGATTATGCTAATTTTATTGATAGATAGAGAAGAGACTTAATGCAAAATCTTCGATGAACGTTCTAATTTTGGATTAGGAAAAGAAGCACTTCCAGGATTTTGCTGTCATTCCAGGCGAGCGACGTTTCTTTCCGGGAGGATTTAGGCCCCGTTCGCTTCCTGGGGAATGGCCTCCAGGATAGTTCCGGCTGGATCGTTAGTTTATATTTGTATAAGATTCCATCATCAGCCGGAATGAATGCTGGCGTCATACTGTCTTAGCTGGGTCTTAGCTGGGTCGGCGCTCCCAAAACAGGCAAATGCAGCGTCAGAACAGGCTGTAGTGACCATGAAACCAAGCTTTAAACAATTTCCCGACGGGTTTTGGCCGTTTTGGGAGCAACGGAAAGGGATGGGATTGGCTGGCAACGCGAAATGTGGAACAGATGCGCATCCCTACACTGGCATCTCCCTGTCCCAGCCCAGAGTAGATTGTTTTCTGGGCTCAAACAGCTGCTCCTGCTACGCGCACGCAGGACCTCGCACCATCCTCCAAGGCTCCATGCAAAGCTCATTATAAATCGTTTCAACTTTGTGCCAAGCTCGTTATAAATCGTTTCAACTTTGTGCTAAGGATATGTTTGGATTCCTATACTACCTGCTAATAGTTATCTCTTTTGGATCAAACAGGTATAACTAATAAAATAGCTAATTGTTAGCTGAACCTCTATATAGTAACCATCTCATTAGTTGAATCAAATTAGATAATATCAACTAATAGTTATCTTAGTAGTATTTTTTTTTGTTGCCATTAGAAGCATTTTCCATTAGCTGTGCATCCAAACATGCTCCAACTAATGCCTAATAGGTAGCTAATAGTTAGCTAGCTATTATTAGATATGGACTATTAGCTAGCTAACTATTAGCAGATAATGAATCAATAATTAACTAGCTAATATTATATATGAGCTATTAGACAGCTAACTATTAGCAAATAATGAATCCAAACAGGGCCTAAGTTTATTTGCAACTTCAAACTTTTTTTTGTTAGATTACCACATGATAGATTTTGATAGTGTATTTGACATTGTAGATGTCTTTTATACATGATGTTGATTAGTTCAACTTTAAAGTAGTCCATGTCATATGTAAAGAACATAGAGGGTATTGCAAATTAAATGTCAACTAGACATAAAAATTCCCATGAACTCTTGGTAATTCTTTAACTAGTAAAACATAAAAAAATAATATTGTGAAAAAATATTACAACGGGCTACTCACTCGTTTACAAGTATAGATCACTTAGTTTTATTCTAAGTAAAGCTTTTCTATTTTTTACTATCTTTTTCATAAAAATATGTTAATATATATAAGTTTAAATAAATGCACCCATCGACACATATGCATGGAAAATTCAATGGGAATTTGATATTATCGATGTTGGTGTATTTTTTTTAAAAAACTTCAATGGAAATTTGATATTATCAATGTTAGTGTTTTTTTTAAAATAATTAAAATTTTAAAAGTGTACCTTATGATAAAAATAAAGCGACATATATAATTAGAGCAGACGGAGTATTTGTCGATTATATTAGTTCATTGAATGTTTACGCGTAGCAACCCCAATTCAAAAATTGTGGAGCAGGGTGGCGAGAAGCATTTTGGGAATCAGGGCCGTGGCCCTAATCACAAAGGCCACCCAAATCAACCCCTTCCCCCTCCCTTCTCCCTCCTCCCCCACATCGGGCAGATTCCTCTTCTCTCACCGCCCAGGTCAGGTCAGGTCAGGCCAGGCCTGGCGGTAGAGAGATCCGGCGAGAGACGCCGCCTCTTGCTCCCTCACCCTTCTCCAGAAGCGCCTAGAAGCTTCGGAAGGTGCCCCGCCGCGGCTCGAAGGAGGGGAGGGGACGCCGCGGGCAATGGCGGCGATGGAAGCCGCCGCCGACGCTATGCTCGCCGCCGCGAGCCGCGCCTTCACGAGCACCTTCGCCATCGCCATTCAGATCCAGGTGAGACCCCGTCCCCTGCCCTTCGCATTGTGGACGCAGGGGCGGAATTGTCTGGGAGCTGCGGAAAGCGCGATGTTTTTGAGGAATAGTTTTGGCCGTCAGGGTTTTTTTACGATTCTGTTTTGAGTTCTCCCACGAGTAGGAAGCTTTTATGCATAGAGTTTTACAGCTCCTTAAAAAAGTATAGAAAGAATAAAGAATATCATCTCCAAGAGTTTTTAATAATCTATTTCTAAAATATAGAAAACAATTTTACGTTAGGAATCTTATATTATTTCTAAATTGTCCTAACCGCTTTTCTATATTCTTTTTCTCCTGTACATTTGCATCGGTAACCCTTTCCTACTCTTTATTCTTTCCACGCCCTTCCACTTTAGATTGCTTGCGGGAGAGAGAAGATACGCGCAACTCGGAAGCGCGTAACTTTAAGCGGAACGGGGTGACTTTTTTCAAGTTCTAAAAGATTAGGAGGATGGATTATAAGTTTTTGGAGAGATATTTTTTCTCATCTTGCTAAAAACTAAGAATTAGGAAGGGATTTAGGGAACTCTCGGAGATGCTCCTACAGAGTCTTGTGACGGCGCAACTGTTTTATGGATGTTGGAAAGTTTTACAGTGGATAAACCAGTTAGCTGTACTTTTTGAATGAGATGGGATGATGCATAAGTTTGATTAGTACGTTTGAAAAGCCAGCAAATTTCCACACAAGACCCCGTATCAGTTATTGGTGCATATGCTTTTGGAGATTTGTCAGTTTCGTTCGAACAAGCGTTATCGATCTCAGCTTGTCTCACTCCATTTGTTACCTTCTACTGCTATAGGTGCTCCAATTGTACTGACCTTTTTGGTATACATTTTCAATGTCCACGGGGAATGTCCACGGGGATATGGCATGTGTTCATTTTGTAGCTCAGTTTAAAGTTTGAACTTTTTTTTTTTAAACCAAAAAAAATTTCCTTCGGAGTGCTTGACCTCATATACCTTTTTGGTGCTTTCAGTTTACTGGCATTTTTTCTTACTATTTCTTCTTGTTTGTATGCTGGTTATCCTATTTATGTAGGGGTGCTGTATCTGTTTAGTTCTTGCTCTCGGGTGGGCGGCTGCTTCAATTGTCAGGTAAAGAAAGGAATTTTGTGATTTTAAGTTTTACTTCACAAGGATGGAAACAACATATCAGCTGATTTCTTATACAATCTATGCTCTCATACCAGAAAAAGGGTTATAAAGAACATGAGGCGCAACATTGTAGATGGAAATAGTTTTGCTTTTCTTTGTGACAACATAGATGAGCTTGAGCACTCTGTTCAGGAGAATTTACCTAGAGTCTCTGTAATTATGCCTTTGAAGGGCTTTGGCGAACATAATTTGCAAAATTGGCGAACTCAGGTATGATCAAACTGCACTATACATATATAAGGATTGCCGTTTATGTCTTGGATTGTTACGTGCCCTTATAATCCATAAAAGTACAGATTACATCACTTTATGGGGGGCCACTGGAATTCCTGTTTATCGTAGAGAGCAAAGATGATCCGGCTTATCATGCTGTTTCCCGTTTGATCGCAGAGTACAAGGTAGGTGGTTGCCTTGTAACGTTTACAGTCATGATGTTCTCAAACTCTTCATCTATTGTTCTTATTAGATATAATTTTCAGGACAATCTGGAGGCGAAGGTGGTTGTGGCTGGGTTGTCAACAACTTGTAGCCAGAAAATTCACAATCAATTGGTAAGTAAATGAATTTGTTGTTATCCTCGATGTCAATCATGGTCTGTTCATGACACTGATGCTCATTTTAGCTTATGCTTGTAAATGTTCCTAGTCCATGGAATTGAGCTGTTGAATGTGCATGCATTCGACCATTCCATTCTATTGTGTTCCTCTTTGTCCCCAATATGCTTTTCTGCCTTTTACATATCATCCATCTTCACCTTTTATAGTAACTAAAGAAATCTTTGAAAGAAGGTAAGCTGTAAGTGCTACATTTGTATACCTTCGCCACAAATTTCGACAGTTACTGTGGTTGCTATATGGTCATCTCTTGGCCTTGTTTTCATTTTACCAAAAAAGCCCAATAAGTTGACTCATTACTCATGTTTATCAAACTGAAACAGATCGGTGTTGAGAAGATGCACAAGGATACCAAGTATGTCTTGTTTCTTGACGATGATGTGAGGCTGCATCCTGGGACTATCGGAGCTCTCACAAAAGAAATGGAGAAGAATCCTGAGGTCTGCTTTTTCGTGAACCCCTCCTCCCTTCTTCTATTGCCCTCACTGCATTAACATTGTATGCTTTTGTGGCTGGCAGATATTTATACAAACTGGATATCCCCTTGACTTACCTTCTGGCAGTTTGGGCAGCTATTGCATATATGAATACCACATGGTATGAAGTTATTTAATTAGAACCATTCATTATGGGTGTCTGCCTGTCCTTTCATTAAATACAAGAAAGTTAAACTAGAATCCACATTGTGTGCAGTTATTCCATAGATTAAGATGTTTATTCCGATGTGCTAAGACACTGCCTTGCACATAAAATAATTTTGTTATTGCTTCTACAGATTCTTGATCTTTTTCTCTTTTCTCTTTTCATCTACACCATTAAAAAGTCCCCTCATGTTACTGATCTAGTCATGTTATCTGTTAAGCGCAGTACCTATTATTCAACCAAAACAGAATTCTAAGCAACATTAATGTTGGGAAAATGTCAACCACCGAGAAATTTCATCATTGTTCTGCAATGTATTAGTATCTGTCCCAGTGTTTGCATCTCTTTGTCTAACGATTTGATTGTTTGTGAAATAAAAGTTTGCATTACCAAAGTCCAAAGGGCTATTTCTTTTAGCCGCATCATGTTTCCTCTTTAGCATATCTTTACCCTATCATTCTATCTTTTAGTTTTTGCTAGTTAGTAATGTAGTTCTTTGTGTGTATGTCCATTGTTCATTTTTACTATTGATCTTCTTTGCAATTTAGTGACAATAGCCATACTGCAGCCTTGCTCGATGGGATTTGCAACTGGTGGGAAGACTTTCTTCTTGTGGGGTGGCTGTATGATGGTATATATAGTCTATTTCTTGATGGGAACATTTTCTCTTGATGGGAACATTTTCTCTAGAAATCCTAACAAGGCTTCACTTTAGATGCATGCTGATGATTTTAGGCAAGACCGATATGGTGTTGCCAGTGGATTAAGAGATGGTGGTTACTCAGATGATATGACACTCGCTGCAATAGCAGGTAATTCTTCTTTGCCAGGAGTTATGCCTCTTTTGTTACAAAAGGCCGAAATTTAGTATTAGGAATGAAATAAAATCTGATAATTACTTCTATATGCTTAAAGGCCAAGGGCTGCTATGATTTTCAATCATTTTTCTATTTGGGACTTCTAACTCTGTTCATATCAATCTTTTGTGTTCTTGGTCCATGCCTTTTGACCACACAGCATTTACTTATAATAATTTAACTGTATCTTTCACAGGACAGCACAAAAGGCTCATATCTTCACCTCCTGTTGCTGTGTTTCCACACCCTCTTGCCAGTGATCTTAGCTTCTCCAGGTACGCAAATTTTGCATTGGAAAGCTATGCAGCTTATTTGCGGGCAGTAAAAGAAAGAGTAAATCACACAAGTCCGATTCATTCTGTCACAATGACAAAGTTTCTATTTGCGAAGCAAGTTTGGTAGGTTCAAGGTGGGGGCCAAAAAGAGCACCCAATATATCTTTTTTTACGCTAAACTGTTGGGATATCTCGCTCAACATATTTTCTGTGAAAAATCATGATGGATACGTAGGTGGGTCAATGAAAATAAGCAATACAATATGCTCTATCCATTGATAAATACATAAGATCTTCCTTCACCCTATGTCCCTATGTGTAGTGGTGAGTGGTCAAAGGTACAGCGGTGACACAATTCTGGTTTCTGGTGTGCAACAATGATTGCAATTGCTGGAGATAGTTGGAAAGGGGCCCTTGATTTACTATGGTTTCGTACCGTGCCTAGGTGCTTGGCCAAATTACCCTACTGGGAGTTATGTTTTCACACACTAATATACTATTCGAGAAAAAAAAACACTAATATACTATGGATTTCTTCTAGTGCCACAATACTTTGGGTTTCTTTCCTGTGCACATGCTTATGCTAAACCAATGTATGCATCTTAACTAATATTGTTTTCTTCATATACATGTTTGTTTTTCATGCAGATACTGGAATTACCTCAGGAAACAAACTTTTGTTCTTGAGTCATATGTATCGAATGTCAACTGGATGATGAACCGTGCATTATTTACAAGTCATTGCTATCTGTCATGGGGGTTTGTCTGTCCATATATTATGGCTTTGGTCCATGTTTTAGCTGCTCTTCGAGCACCGTACAACAAAGTTGTAAAGGAAGCATCCGATTCATCTTGGGGTCAGTTCCTCGCCTTCCAACCCCAAACCTTTTTGTTGTCAAAATGTCTCACCACACTTTTGTTATCTTGTGGCATGCTATTTCAGGTTTGTTCCTAGTGGGACTCTTGTTCATATGCACTCTCATCGAGCTTGTTTCAATGTGGAATTTGACAAAAGTGGAAATTCAACTATGCAATATGCTGTCTCCTGAAGGACCAAAAGTATCTCTTGATTCATACAATTGGGGGCTTGTGAGTGTCCCTTTTCACCGCACCAAATAATTTTAGGACCCTGAGATTTTCTCTCCTGTGATAACCTATTTAGTAACCTTATTATGGCCGGGCTTCAATTTCAGGTGTTCATTGCTGTGTTGGTAGACAATTTCCTCTATCCAATATCTGCATTCAGATCACATTTCTCCCAATCAATCAATTGGTCTGGTATCCGATACTACTTGAGAGATGGGAAAATAAGCAAGGTACATGCAACATATTCTTGGGCATTTTCCCTCTTCGAGAATAAGTCAACTTGCTTGAAAATATTTAAAGAAAATTCACCATACAAAACACCTCTTAATGTTTAGGTTTTCCTAAACATCTCATTTTTAATGGTTTTGCAGATCGAAAGAGAGAACAGTTCGAAGTATACTGATCTTGGAGGGAAGCATCTATATGGCAAGAGGACATACCCTCCTAATAAATCATTGCTTGGTTACCTGTCAAGAACTCTAGTGCAATGGCATCAGCCAAAGAAATATGACGTATAGGAAGGTCAACCAGGATTCAGCCCTTGATTTGGCGGGGCTTCTTGTTGTAAACCCCCTTTGTTTTCATCTTTCCTGCCTCCCTCTCCCCTTCTCTGATTGTTTATTGGTTATTAGGTTCATTCATATTAAATTTTGTGGTGTTCAATCGGCGCCACTTCAAAGGGTTGCACCTCATAGTTCTTGTAACACTATAGATATGTTCCAAGAATGTTCCATATTGGTGAGATGGTCTCTTTGCTTCATTTGTTGATTCATCGACTTGGTTCCTTGTTCTGCCTTATTGGGCATCCCCAATGGTGGTGAAATCGCCGGCTCTCGTCGAATTCTATTGGCTGTAGAGGACAGAGAAACGAGCTAGCGCTTCCATCATCGCTAGTCTCGCACTTCCTCCAAGAAAACACTCTCTCTCAGCTCTATTATTTGCGTATTTCTGCCATCTCCATTCTTCTTTTTTTTTTTTATTGTTTCGGATCTTCAACTCGCCTAGCGATTTAGATACCCTGTTCGGGACGCCATTGCTGAGCGGACAGAGGGGTGTGTGACAGACTGACAGTCTATCTGTTAGTCTGGGTAGACTTGGTTCTATCATTAGTTAGTTCATTAGTACAAATGCGTATCATTGCACCATGACATTTCTTTTGCAAGGTCAAACGCGTGAAGCCTGACATCCCCTTGCAAGCATTATTGTTCAATATTCAATTTCATTGGACTTCTTATGACATCGAGAGCTTCAAACTACTCTTGCAGCCCAGCACATATAACTCGATTCCTCTCTCGGACGCCTACGAGTATTTAATCTGATACTAGTCATTTCGATTCCCCTCTCAGACGCCTAGGAGTATTTTATCTGATACTAGTCATTGAACAAATGTTTGAGTTGACATCTAGTCGCTATTTGCACCATATAATTTCATGCCTTCACGTACTCCCTCCGTTTCAAATTATAATTCGTTGAACTTTTTTTTTTAACCCTAAGTTTGATTGTTCGTCTTATTTAAAAATTTGTGGTCAAATTTGATGTTAAAAAAGTCAAACGAACTATAATTTGAAACGGATTTAGGAGCAAGATTCTACTTTTGCTGCTTGTATTAAAAAAAGTGATGAGCGACAAAGGCCAAGGAACGATTGTCCGAAGGCATTCCAGGTCGCTCGTTAGAAACAACTGCTGCCCCATCACCGATGTCCGAAGGCAGTTCTCAACTCGAAGTCTCTGTCAAACTGACCTGTCAAAGCCGTCTCTGGTGAGACCGACCACAGACCAGTTGCCGGCATCCGTTTTTTCAAGGCTGCGTGCAGGTGCGCACCGATGTGACCCCGTGGAAGACCTTATATTCCACAATAGCCAGCCCAGCCAGTCACCTACGGCGGCTGCCACGTAAAACGCCGCCGCTTCCTCGCCTTTCCGGCGCACGCATCGCACAACTTGCGATTTGAATACAAACCACGGCTCTGGAAAGTGGAAGCTGCCATGGCTTTCGTCTCTGTTGAAAAAGCAAAGCCGCGACGGCGACCGGTGAACCGCATTCCAGTACGTGTCACGCCACGTGAAGCCACGAGTCCATTGTTCCGTTCGTTTTACTTGCTGATAAGTTGGCGGTAAAAAGATTGTTGACCGATTTATCGTGCGAGAAAAGTATTGTTCGTTGACTGAAAAGTATAGCTTATAAGCGAAGCCACGTCACCCCGAGCACCAGATGACGGGTCGCACTTGCGAGACGGTCATGGTCCAGCGGTCCGGTCCCGTCCGGCACAGGCACAGCGATGTCGACACGCCACCACTTGGACGCCCGCCGCCAGAGACCTGCCTGCAGCCTGCTGCGGTCTCCCTCAGCCCTCGCCCCTCAGTAAGGTTTGGGCGAGCCGACGTCATGTTGCACGGGAGGATGGCGCCGTGCCGCCCGCGTAGCCGCCGCCCGACAAGGACGACAACAAGCCGGGCTCGCGAGGGAACGAGCACGTGATCGCGGTGAAATGGGAGCGGAAAAGCTCGAGGCTGTGAGCACGGGAGGGACCAGACGGGACGGCGCACGGAAGGCAAAAGACGTCCCGTTGATTTTCATATTTTTTCAGTCAATAAATAATATTTTTCTCTCATAATAAATTAGACATTAGATAAAAATACTTTCAGCCCATGGCAGCCAAGCGATCAAGGCAAGAGTTGTTTGGGTGGAGCGGAGGGAACCGTGGGCGCGCGTCCATGTGTGCGGATCACGGCACGGGAGCCGACCTGCAAAACCGGGGCGTAGCCGCAGCCCGCAGGCCGAAAACAGGAGGGGGAGGCCGCCAGGTTTAGGTGGTGGTGGGCCGGAAACTGCTTGCGACCGACGGTTTTTGAGGCGCCGCTGCGGACGCTTGAAGCCGAAACCGCGACGACGCGCGCCGCCCTCTCCTCCCCTGTCCGCTCCGTGCGGCCGGCGACAAAACCGCTCCATCCGGAGGCGGTGTGGTACGCCGTACACGGGTGGACCGGCGGGGTCTGCGGCGCGGCAGGTGTCACGCGCGAGGGGACCCGCATCAGGCAGCGTTGGTGGATTGCGACGCTGCGTCACGCCTGGGGGCTGCGGCGGCTTTGGGCTACGGACCACTCGCGGACCGGGGGTAGGTGGCACGGTTGGACGAAGTGCGCCCGGCCCGGACCGTCAGACCGGTCGGGTTTGCGGCTTTGCGCTCGCTTGAGGGGAGTGCTTCGTGTTCGTGCGGCACCCGGCCGGCAAGGAGTGGGAACTATGCCTTTTTGTTGAGCGTCCATGGCATGACAGCCCTATGATAATCGAATCTACATATATAAACAACAAACAGATATTTAATAAAAATAATTACTTGGGCAATAAGATTCCCGAAATATACAGAGGTATGAAAACCACCAGAAAATATGTATATAGAGTATTTACATCTGGTACCAATAAGATAGGCATCATATATTCATAACAATAATCCCTTAGTTATTCTAATTCTAAGCTAGAAAGAGTTTTTATGAACAACAAAAAGACTCGATGGCACCGATGCAATTTACACTATCAGCCCTGTTCGTTTGGCTGTGGCTTGTCGTAAACGATCGTAAATTTTCAGTCGGAACAATATTTTTCTCTCACACAAACCAGCCAGCAGTACTTCTTCACAAACAAGCAACGAAACGAACCAGTCAACCGAACAGGCTGTATATACGACAGTCAAAATATGGTAAAATAGATATTCCTCATGGACCAAGAGAACCGGCCCAACAAGAAAACCCAAAGGGCGTCGACGAAAATACGGATGAAAACCGGGGGCAGCACCGAACCCCGCGCGCCGCACACGGTTCCGATCCGCAAGGTCCGGTGGCGCAGCGCACCCAGATCAGATGCCCTTTTCTGGTTTCTTTCCCCTTCGCCAAGCCCGAACCCGGACCCCCCGTGTTTAAATACACCCTCGGGCCGTCCTCCGCTTCCCCCGTCTCCGTCTGCCTAACCATTCCTCCCAACTACACCGCCGCCTCTGCAATCCTCCTCGTAGCCTCCGTCGAGCATCGATCATGTCGGCCTACTGCGGAAAGTACAAGGGTACGTTCCATCGTCGTCTCCTCCTCCCCCGGCCATGCTTGTATCCTCGGTCGTTGCTGATCTGCTTGTGATGTCGTTCGGTCTTGCGTATCGTAGATCTGTTACTTGTTCGTTGTTGGTGCCCTCAGATCTAGCTGTGTTGACGAGTATGCTAACGATTCGCATACCTCTGAGTAGGATTTGTGGAATTTTTAGATCCGTACAGGCTTGTGCGGTCGTTCCTACTTGTGTTTGGCTTTTAGGGGTTTGGTGGTTGCCAAAAGGGTTTAGGTGATAGAGCAGGTGATACCTCTATGATCGGTTAATTTGATATGGGATTCGCTTATTTTTGTCTTGATTTTATTCATACATGTAGTGGTATGCATCTGTTCGTGCTGTTTCCTATTGAGGCACACGGTGGGTTAGATTATGTAGGTTTGGTATGTTGGTTCATGATGGAAGATAAATTCTCCTGCTGGCATGCACTGGTGGCACATGTTGTAGTTTTTGTGTGCTAGTTTCAAATGATATTACCTGCTTGTTCAATCTAAATATTTTCCTGTCATGTCATGGCTGCTAGAATAGATGCTATATGCATGCATCTAGGATAGTCGATGCTATATGCATGCATCTAGGATAGTCAGATCTGTAAATGATTTTAAGCTTACTGTGCTAGTCAAATGTTGTTCTATGCTTCCTTTAGTCATGATGATGTTTATGGTAATACAGTTATGTATAAAGCATGTTTATGGTAATATAGTTATATATAAAGCAGTTTTTGTTAACCAGTAGTAACTTCCTGAATTAATACTTACTGATTTTGTATTATTCAGGATGGCCTTTGTACTTGTTAGATGACCATGCTTATGCTTATTGATAAGTCCCACTATTCTTGTGCTGAATTTTTTTGTCTGTTATTTTGCAGATGAGCTCATCAAGAATGCTGCCTACATTGGCACCCCTGGCAAGGGTATCCTTGCTGCTGATGAGTCCACCGGCACCATTGGCAAGCGCCTTTCCAGCATCAATGTCGAGAATGTGGAGGAGAACCGCCGTGCCCTCCGTGAGCTCCTTTTCTGCTGCCCTGGTGCCCTCCAGTACATCAGTGGTGTGATCCTCTTCGAGGAGACCCTCTACCAGAAGACCAAGGATGGCAAGCCTTTTGTTGATGTCCTCAAGGAGGGAGGCGTCCTACCTGGCATCAAGGTCGACAAGGGCACCATTGAGGTTGCAGGCACCGACAAGGAGACCACCACCCAAGGCCATGATGACCTTGGCAAGCGCTGCGCCAAGTACTACGAGGCCGGTGCCCGCTTTGCCAAGTGGCGTGCTGTTCTCAAGATCGGCTCCAATGAGCCATCGCAGCTTGCCATTGACCTGAACGCTCAGGGTCTGGCTCGCTATGCCATCATCTGCCAGGAGAACGGTCTGGTGCCGATTGTTGAGCCTGAGATCCTTATTGATGGCCCTCACGACATTGATCGCTGCGCTTACGTCACTGAGACCGTCCTTGCTGCCTGCTACAAGGCTCTCAACGAGCACCATGTCCTCCTGGAGGGTACCCTCCTGAAGCCCAACATGGTGACTCCAGGCTCCGACTCTAAGAAGGTGGCTCCTGAGGTGATTGCTGAGTACACCGTCCGTACCCTCCAGAGGACCGTCCCTGCTGCTGTGCCTGCTGTTGTCTTCCTGTCCGGTGGACAGAGCGAGGAGGAGGCCACCATCAACCTCAATGCCATGAACAAGCTCAGCACCAAGAAGCCGTGGTCCCTGTCCTTCTCCTTCGGCCGTGCCCTCCAGGCGAGCACCCTCAAGGCCTGGGCTGGCAAGGTGGAGAACATCGAGAAGGCTAGGGCGGCCTTCCTCGCCAGGTGCAAGGCCAACTCTGAGGCTACCCTCGGCACCTACAAGGGTGATGCTGCCGCTGACACCGAGAGCCTCCACGTCAAGGACTACAAGTACTGAGTTGCTTCTCTTTGCGTGCCCGTTTTGGAACTCCTGCCTACGAGCTAGGTTGCTGAGTGTGGTTTGCTCGTTTGAGCTTATATTCGGACATCAAAAAAACATGCTTCCTATGTGGATGATGGTTATTATCTTTATATTCGTATATTAACTAGTCTCGTTGGTGTTAAGTTTCGTGTAATTTGGTCCTGCCGATGGAGAATCGAGCAGCGCCCCCCCTTTTTTTTGTTCTATCTACTATGCTGTAATCCTGGCTATGTATCGGCAAAAACAATTTTATATGCCGAGTTGGAGACAGCAACTTGTTTGGATTTTATTTTTTGTGAGAGACAGACTCTAGAGATTTACATATACCACGAGAGTCTAGGTAGTTATATCCACCCGCTGGTTAGCTGAATTTTGAAACAAAACGTAACATGAACCAACAGTAGGTACATTGCAGCACAAACTAATAACACAACACGATTCTTATTCACAACCATAGTTCAGCGTGCAAGTCAAGATATTGGCAGCTTTAACAAACCAAAGTTGTGTATCCGTGGTTTTGTTTTAGCTGTTAGCGTGTATGAATAAATCAATAGTGTTTTAGCTGTTAGCGTGTATGAATAAATCAGTAACAGGATTTGCAGGATTTTGTTTTAGCTGTTAGCGTGTAATCTCTCCCTAAAAAAATTTCATTCTCTTTTCGAATCGTAATAATTATCACTAATGAATCATATAATATATTTTTATAATATAAACTTATTTAAAGACACATGTTGATAATTTTTTATATAAACCTAGTCAAACTTACAGGTTTATTACTTAGTTCAAACACAGAGTGACATTCTTTTTAAGATGGAGTAAAGAGTAATAACTCAGCAGTTGGAAAATTACTAGCCAAAGGAAAGTGTGGCAGCCTGCACATTGTCATTTATAGGCGAGGAAATAATTACTTAGAAACATGTAGTATTCGATTTGGTACAAGCTAGGCCAGTTAAGCTCAGGGCAAATGTAAAGCAAAGCAAAACTCAGGACAACCTATTCCAGGATGTCCTCATCAATCTCGATTGAAATGATCTCCCCGTCATCGAACTGGTCTTTCCTTGGAGGAGCTGGAGGAGCAAAGAGCCGCGGAGGCCCAGTTCCCTTCTTCTTGTTGCGCGGCCTCGCCTAACATGATCAGACAGTTAGATAAGACAGAATTAAAAAAAAAACTAAATGCGATGAAAATTGTCCTGGAGCACTCACATTGCCATATGAATGGTTGAACCTTTTGCCCCTTTTCGTCTTCTTGTCCCCTCTCCCACAGTAGACTGAGCAAGAGCAAATAAAGTTTAAAACTTAGTCGACAGGGTCATCAGTATTGATATAAAGTATAAACAGAAGCCAAAAATGGATTGCAGCCCAGTTGGGTTCTTGCAATTAGAGAATAAAATTCTGAAGCAGGCTTTGGACATAGAATTTGAATTGAAATTGTGACTAATTACAAGTGTCTTCTTTGAAGTACACGCGTCAGAATATGAAATTCTGATGCATTTTTTACTCCTTGTATTGATAAAGCAGAAACAAGTGTTTACAAGAGCTCAGGTCAGTGTGGCATCAGAGGCGACCAAAACTTTAGGTAGCAGCGATAAACAAGAGATTAAGCTAACTGCCTTGTTTGCCACTCATTCCTGACACCATGTCAAGTGAATCGGTTAATAGGTAAAGGTTTAATAATCTATTACTAGTAGTTTTCGGTTCATATAAATGCTCCTGCTCCTCAATAGCTTAAATTTCTTCCTGTGGAACAACTTTATCAGTAATCGACCCAGATCCACTAACGGTATCACAACTTCTACCTCCTCTGGGGAGCCCATTTCAGTGACAAATTCCTTACTAGTAATATCATTTTAGTGACAAATTCCTTACTAGTAGATCATTTTATACAAAGAAGGAAAATCTTCATTCCCAATCGAACTTGAACGAATTTTCCAAGTGTCAGTGTAATAGTAGCCATTGTTTTTTCACCCTTATTGCGAGGAAAACAGTAGCCATTGCTCTTGACATGTGCCAGAAGGAAACTACCTCAGACAAAAAGGAAGTGAGTAGGTAGCTGCTTAATTTACCGTCAAGAACTGGAGTGACGGTAGCCGACGTGACGGCGCCGACGGCGAACGCAGCTCGGACGCGGGGGAAAGCGGCGGAGGCTGCGAGCGCGTAGGAGGAGGTGGAGACAGAGGAGGAGACGGCGCCGTGGTTGTGGGATGGGAGGGCCGCGGCGGCGGTGGACATGGCCATGCCCTGGATGGCGAGCAGCGCCATGGGACAAGAAGGAGCGAGCGCAGCAGGGAAGACTCGTGTGCTCGGAACGGTGAGGGATCAGGTTGGATAAGGGATAAAAGGGCTCGCAGCGGGAGCCACAGCGCACATCTAGGATGGGCTGGTATGGGCTGGTGTGGTCTGGGCCACAAGTAACCTTATGGGCCGTTACCGTGAAGTATGGTGAACACACGTAGCCAGGCCGTCTCCCCTAAAAAAAAACGCAGCCAGGCGAGAGGCCCAGGCCGTCGAGTCTGATCAGGTCCTACATTTCGGTCTCAGCCTTGGATTCTTTTTATATATATTTTATTTAATATAAGGCGATCAAAGTTTAGAGTCGGTTTGAAAAGCAGAAATTTTATAAAAAAATATGTAAAATTTTAACAAGATTCAGTTTATTTTTATAGGAAAAAAAGAAGGAACACGGAAAAATTCCCGCGTTTCCAAAAAAAGGACCTTAGATTTGAGTCATGCTAACAGAAAACAAAAACCTAAATGCTCCAGCGTCGTTCTCCGGCCCGTTCTTCTCCTGCTGAGTTAGGGTTCTGGTCCTTCTCGATTTCGGTGGACTGGTGGAGACAGAGACTTCAATTGATCGTGGCCTCACACGCTCACAGCATCACCTGTGCAAGGTGCCAGCTTTCCAGGCTGCAGCGAAATCAATTTCGGACTGAACGAGCTCATGGTTTGTGCATCAACGTCCCTGTGTACGTTTCATTTCACCAGAGGCTAGCGTCAAGGAACGGTCCCGAGCTGTCCCACCTTGTGCAGTTGTGCGGGTAATTTTCCGTCCTGGAAGTATTTGGGAGCGTGTGGCTGGAGGGATTCCATTTCATTTCAGCAACTGAGAATGGGAGGCTTGCAAAGGTCACTGTCAGGTACCACGCCCTGGCTGCTCACCTGTACGGCTGTACTAGTGTACAATACAACAGAATGAATGGTCGCTGTCAGGTACATTTCAACCGACCAGAGTTTCAGTTTCAGTGTCCTATCATAAATAAACCGATGGCCAAATCGATTCCGACCGAATTCCAGCACCGGTATGGTACTTGATAGTTGAAACGCCCTGATCCATCTATCTTCCTTTCGTTTGCTCTCTCATCAGCATCCAACGGTGATGGAAAATGTCCATTCCTCCTTCCGTTTGTTCAGATCGAACATTACAGTTCTTTGGTCGATTCTATTTCCATAGAGCTATCTAGCGTTGTCCATCACTACATTCGTAGTTTTGCAGTATGAGTAGCAGAAAAGGCACTGGCTGAGGAAATGGAAAACACCAAGGCCCCTGTTTTCTTCATTCTGAGTAGTCCGGCAATTTGCCAGACGAGAAATGTCAAGCTAGTAAAACCCGAGACATTTTTCTTCTTTACAATTATTACAGCGAGCAACGCCATCATGCAAAGCCAGTGCAATGGCATGGCAGACCACAAGAGTTTGTTTGTCAGCAACGGCTTCGCTTTGCCAACTCGATCAGCAGAGGATGGTCGGCTGCCGGAAACCCTTGCTTGCTTCATCGCTTGTACACCGCTTCTTCTTCCCAGATCCCTTCTCCTCTTCCTGAGCTTCTTCAGAGGGGGAGGGGGAGCTTTGCTAGACTAGGTAGTCGTAGTAGACCAGCAACATGTTGTCGGGGACGATCAGAGGCAGGCTGTCGATGAAGCTGAGGAAGTGCTTCACGTTCTCCTTCTTCAGGGTCACCGTGTCGATCACGTCGTCGTCGCCGGTAAGCACCCAGAGGTCTCTGGACCGGACCCTTTTCAGGCTCCCGCGGCAGAACGGGCATGACTGGGATCTTGTATACCTGCAGTGACGATACATTCAGAGTTCAGCATTATTGCCCTGTTCGCTGGGAGGAATTTGGATGAATATGGAGGAATCTGGGAGAGAGTGAACAGTGAGAGTGAACAGTGAATTTCAGCCGTAAAACAGTGAATTCCGGCTTGAAACAGAATAGGGTTAAGCACAGAGGAAGAGGCGTCTATCTAGTTGAGATTTGAGATGGAGCTCAGACTAAAATCTCCTGGGATGATGGTATGCTTAATCCTACCCCGATCCCTCCTGATTGCTAGAATTTTCAGTTACTGGCAATAATAGATGGGCCAGTGGTTACCAAAAGAATCTACTGCTATAACCAATCCCATTGAGTGTAATCCATAATCTAACTGAAGCAACGTTATTGGGGAAGCTATTGACTTTGCCAAATTTCTAGTGATGCAGCCGATCAATGAGTATCATTAAAAGCAACAACCTGTCATATACTCAAACGCAATGACTTGCAGATGACATCCTTGGTACACAAGCATGATCTGCCAGCTAAGAGAATATCATTTAGGATTTAGAATGCCACGTCAAAGTGCTCCTCCCTTTTTATCCCTTTAATTTTTGTTTGTAACTTAGCAGTTGGTTGGCACTAATGAATAATGATTTAATGCTTTATTAAGGCTACAACTCTCCTGGTTGTCTGCTTTCAATTCCATTGATGTACCATTGCTAATTGTTGACGAAACGTGGGGGCTTCTAACAATGGTGCAAAGTACCATAATTTTGTCCACTAAGCTCTGGCCAATGCGGCATTCAACTGGAGGAATGAAGAGAATGAATCCCCTAACATGGCACATGATCATTAGATCACATCGAATCCCTCCTAGTTGACAAACAGAAGGCTGAAAATTTTAGAATAAGAAACACGTGGATTCCCATGCCACCACGGTGGTACAAAGCAAATAAAAACCAACTCAGCACATGAGGGGTGATGAGAATAAGCTGCACTGCACAACCACAGCAAAGATTAAAATTTATTTTTTTCCCAAAACATTCAGGAGAATGTACCATCTGAATTTGACTAAATGGAGGCTGTAAATAATGAATATGCAAAAAGGAAAGTGCATTAGGATTAGGACTGTGCTGGGTTGTTGAACCACCCCCTCCCCACTCCCCACCAAGGCACCAACAAGGAGTGAGTAGAAGTAGCCCACAGAGGACAAGTTTTTTAAGAAAATTATTGAACCACCCTTGCGCTATCAAGAGTCCAAGACTGTGTCAATGCTTACGCGCTTCCTCGAACCTTATCTTTAAAATCAATATCACATTCAGGCTATTCAACCGCTAGCGATTTTTTTAATGGTAGCGTATGATATTGGGCCCTAATTGATAAATGATCTATGATCCAGGCTCAGATATCTTGGTACTTAAAGAATACACCCCAAACGGATAAGCAAGAGGAACAGGGAGCAATACCAGTCTCGGTAACAGTTGATGCACATGGCATGGTTGCAATTTGGAAGGACCATCTTGGTGCAGGTCTCCAAGCAAATGCCACACTCATCCTCCCTGTCATCATCGGCAACAAGCTTCCGACCGCCGCCGGCAGCAGACTCCTTACACCACCCTTTGTCCTTGCAGTCCTTATTATCCATCAAGTTGCCCTCAAGTTGTTGCAAGAAAGGGTATATGATAGCTGCATTCCATGGGGTCCTAAAATTATATTAAACAACTGCAACAAAAAAATCTTGAACTGAAAAACTTCTTAATTACTACTACTTTCTATGGTGGATAAGCATACCATAGAACTCCTTCAGGCTTGCTCTCCTTTCTATGGTGGATATAGAGGCATCTTCATCAACATAAACCTGTACGTTCAACCAAGACCATGTCAACATTCAGAACCTCTGGAGAGAGACCAATTCGTGAGTTCAGCAACTCTCTCGGCAAGTGCAATTCAACAGTACCTTGTAGACAAGAACCTCAAGCAGTCCAAGGTAACTAGGGAGCGTGTATGACAAGGAGCAGCTGCAATCCATCCATTGGATAAGGTTGAGAATGATTGGAGCCATGGAGCTGTAGGAGAGCTTCATCTGCACGCAGGCACCCCCATACGCCCTGTGTATAGCGTGCGCCCTGAAGAAAAGAGAAGGATTTTTACCAATATTCATCAGTAAGTGCATAGAACACGAGCCGAACACTATCAGGAGAAGGGGGAAAACAAAAAAGGCAAACTTTTTCTCTACTCTACATCTTTTCCTGGAAAACCAAGTAGCAAAGGAGAACACCAAGAACCAAGAGAGTATGAAATACAGAGTAATTAAAAAGGAAGGAGAGGATTACAGGGTGTTGGCATGGTGGATATCAGCTTCAAGGGCCTTGAGAGACCCCCGGAGGGACAAAGGCCTGCCGCCATGGAACATGACTCCTCCCTAAGACAAATCCAACCTCCTCTTCCGTTTCCTACACCCCACCTATTCCAAGCTCTCAAGCCTATAAAACACACAGAGACTTGGGCAAGGCGCAGAGGGGTTCGACCTCAAGAAGCAACGAGCAAGCAAAAGCAAGGCAAGAAGAAGGTCGCCAACAAGAAAAGAAATGGCAAGCTGTTTTGGTTTGGGTTTGTGGGAAAGTAGCTTTGGGGAGGGAAGCTGTGAAGGGGGCCTTTTGTCCGTCCTGCGCCCGCCCATGGTCCCTTGGGTTTTATATAAGCGAAGAGAGCAGGAGATGTCTTGGCAACTTGCAAATTGTTTTGCTTTGTTTCTTTTTTTTGCTTGAGAAGAAGTGCAAAAGCTTTGGAATAAAGTTTGGGGAGGGAAGGAGACAAAGGCTGAGGAAAAGCCTACACAAATAGGGCATTCATGGTGCTTAGATTAGGAGCAGTTATGGTGCTGTTCTGCTGTCTCCAGATTTCCACTCTTGTCTAATTCTTAAATTATTTTTAAGATAAAATCATTAACAAGAATTATTTTATAAGGCAAAAATCTCGAGAATAATTCTCCAGTGATTTATTTATATAATTATATATTAAAATATGGAACCCAAATGTTACAGATGAGGAAGGTTGTGAAGCAAAATCTGAGAGAGAGATATAGAGAGAAAAAATTGTGAAAAAAAAGAGAGAAGTGGGAATAAATAACAGTGTGGATAGATTGATGACGGACGGATGGTGATAACGAGCCGGCTGGAGGTAGGGCTCAGATGAGAAAAGAGGGACCTCGGTGGGAGGTGGCTGTCTGGCC